AAATTTTTGACACGTATTGTTTTATATTATTTTACATCCTAATTGGATTTGTAGATCGGGAAAATTGAATTTTCGACTACAAGTATGCAAATCAGTCGGTTTTATATCGATTTCCGTCCCACCCACCGAAAATTCGCTATATACTCACTTCATCATATTATTAAATTTGTAGACGATCCGCGGAATACCTGTCGGCCAGTTTCTCCGCATGGTTTCGCCGCGAACTATATCCACTGGATAAGATCGTAAATTATTCTTTGGACAGTAACACATTTTCTTAAACGCAAAAGAAAGCGACTGCCACGTGATGTTCAATATTCATGACACGGAATTTTAAAAATTAAAAAGGAATAACTGAACACGTGTCTATTAGCATCGAGTAATGAATCCCTAGGAAGTAATTAAAGTTTCCGCGGAGAAAATTTCTCGTCCAGGAGCCAAGGCGAATCTCGGATGCAGCGCATTTTTCACCGTCGTCGCACGTCCCATCTTTCTGCATTGCCCGTTTCCGGTTCCCTCTTGCATTCGCCAACTCGTAAACCCACACACCCTTCCTCAAGAAGAAAAAAAAAAAACAAACAAACTTCCGTTTAAAAAAATCTTACGCCTTGATATACGCGCTGCTAATGAAAAGATCTTTGAAATGATCATCCTTGGACGTTTCGAACGAGAGATTCGCACGATAATGTCACTGCAAATAACAATTGGTCATCAAACATTCAGAAAAAATACTATGTGATGTTCCAGTTTGCTCGACGAATACTAAATCACGCGTATAGCGTGTCCCGCAGGCGTGTACATTTTTCTACTAGCAACTAGAGAAAACAACCATTCTTTATAGGCTGCATAAATCATGATGCGAAACTTCGTGCGAACTACAGCGTTTAAAGAGTTTCTTGAAACGAACGAGTAGCGTGGCGCTCACAGAAATGATGCATTTATTAATTACGCGGCATCAACTAAGACTAATTGCGCGCGAAATAAACAATTTTTCATACAAAATCGACGTAATTCACGTCTAGGGCCGGTATCCCCTGCCAGCGATCGGTAAATTCAGACTCGCTTTATATTAATTAGAGTGCAAATTGCATTAAACCGACGACACTGAGCGAAGCGAAAAATTGCTTCTGTCCAGAAGTGAATTTAATCTACGACTCGCGTCGTCCGTAATTCCACGCGGGTCGGAAGTTCTTTAAGATCCCGTCGAAACGAATCGCCCTACCATGGAAGTATTAAGCGTCTTGAAAATGTCGAGCGGTTGGATGATCGCATTCAGCGGACGTTTCATTTTTTCTTTCTCCTTCTTTTTTCTTCTTATTATTTTTTCTTCTTAAACCTTCGCGTATCCTCGAAGGAAGTGAGAGCTTTGAGGATAATTGAAGCTTTAGAAAAGGGGGTGCAGCTAGGTTAAACGATGTTATGGGATGCGTCAGAAAGGAAGAAAGAGGAGGGAAAGGAGAGGATAGGCGCGGAAAGGACCGGAAAGAGGGATGAGTAAGAGGACGACAGAGCGCAAAGTCCACGGTACACGGAACGGATAAGAGGACTTGGCGCGAGGACTAGGATGGACGGGCGGTTAAGTGTAGGAGGAGGTGGAAGAGGAAGGAAAGGAGGGGGAGGCTCGACATTTAATCTAGGAGAGAGCACGAGGGATCGAGATACGTTTTGCTTTTATATTCTATCACGCTTGTCTAAGACCCAGTGGTCCAGAAAACTAGAGAGCGAGCGGACTCACTCGCGAAAAGGGAGTAGCCGACGAATGAAAAAAGGGACGTTAGCAGGACGTTCGTTTAAGGAAGCCGGCGACGTACGATCTGTCTCCGTCTCGACGCGATACGCGCCACGCCGCTGAGAATTTCGCAAGTCTCCGATAGACACTGAGTTTGATCAATTAACACAGCGCGGGAGAGAAAAAACGAAGAGAATAAAACTGATACAGAAAGCCGGATTGTACAACCGCAGTTCAGTGAACTCTATTTCATAACCTTAATTCCAACGGGGATTTTGAATTAGAAATTTCATACGCTGGATTTCATACGTTAAAAATTGCAATGCATTTGCTTGTATTCGTTACCGAGCTATTTAAAGCGAATCAGCAACAGCGGAGCTTTCATCATAGAATATCTGGTAAAAACGTATATTCGCATTCTTCTCATTCAAAATGTATGGTACGCAAAGAATTTATGAATTTATACGTATGTCATATGCATGGTAAAGCAATAATTCGGTCTATTGCAAATATTTTCCAAACTAATGATTACTAAAAAAAATGTTCGCATTACTCTGTTTCAAGGGAGGCATTTTATAATCAATAGTAAGGCAATATTTAAGGTGAAAGATTCAATAATTCTTTAAAATTATATCTAACGTAAAATATAGAAACGAAAAATACGTGACCAGATTACCGGCGCACATATCGCAAATTCACTATATATTTTTTTATGTCGCAATAAATGGACAAGAAAGCAATTTCTCATTGATAAATTCGAGTTTTCACTCAAAATCCGTTAGAGTGTTGTGTGTTGATATGATCGCGCGAGCCGCTTTTCGAAAAGCCGATTTGTAAATACACTGTATCATAATATATCGCAATAATGCATAGAGAGTTGAAAAGGATAGAAATTTCAAACGATATGTTCCGTGAAGTTCTTTAAAATTCAGGTACATATGTCATAACAAATTGTAGCTATAGAGCTGATTTTTCGTTATTTAATTTTAGTTAAAAGATTCAATTTATCTTCGAACTAAAAATCATGAAAAGCAAAAATTTGATTGAAGCAACTACATAAAAACTAGATAAAAACAACAATAGGCAAGGAATTAATTTAATTAATTTATTAATGAAAAAACTGTTAATAATATTATTGGGCTGTTTGTAATTTTGTATATGACGATGGAAATAAATAAATTTTATTGTTAAGATTGTCAATAATGGCGTGTGCAACGAACTGAAATGTATTAACAAAATATATAATGCAGAATTTCTATATTAAATTTAGGGTAAATAAATATGCAAACAGTGTATTCATGTTTTACGCGAAAGAAATATCGATGCACGGTCGCGAGCCATGAATATTGAAATGACTGGTTACACCGTGCTTCAGAAGTATAGCCATCCATTAAATTTGCAGACAAGTTTAACTTACATACGCACACTACTGTACAAAAACCTGAGAAATATCCCACCTAATATATAATAGTATACTACGCATTGCCGTTGCGCGCAATAAATGCGCATTACTCCCATTTCTCACGTAAAATGTGCTTCCTTTAAAGCACAATATGCTGTGAACAAGGTTTATCCTCTCAGTATATGTAGCAATTATTTGCTGGATAAAACGCAGCTAAACGCACTTATCGGACCACAACTTTTCCAATATTAAAGCATCATTTGTTTGTATAGTTTTTGTGACAGATTTTAATAAAATTGCATTTATGTGTTTGTTCCAAGCGACTATATCACTATTATTCTTTTTTAATTTGCAGCTTCAAGAAATAACGTTGCGATGGTGTTTGCAACTTTTGTTTCAGACTTTTCTGTGCTGTCCAAGCGTGTTTTATATAATCAAAACTACATGATCTACTGACGCGATATACCGTGATGTAATTTATGAAAAATGGCACGTAAAACAGAAGACATTTTTTTAAAACATTTTTTATACCTCGGGCCGTTTGCACGTCGCAATTTATTCGTCGGCGGTGGTCGTTGAGCTCTCGTCTGGCATTTATTCTTAACCCTTTACTTTCGAACGCACGAACCCGTAAATTTTCCCTGCACGAAAACGACGTTCCCTACGCTGATATTTTAAAGAGCAGCTGCTTTAATACAGCTGTTGCTCTCACGAGAGCGCACATCTATCGCGGTACAGCTATGTCTTTTTTTACGATTATTAAAAAGATATTTTTTTCTGAATTTTACATTATTTCAGTTTTTCGTAATAAAATGTTAATTTGAATACATTTAGGAGAATTATATATATTATTATAAAAAAAATTTATAAAATATCCCGTATTACTGTGTGTATAACATTTTTCAAATAATTATTAATTATGTAGTCAAGTATTCAGAATGTTTTTATGCTATGTACATATATTTCTCTAATATATGGTTATATTTACTATTAATATATGGTTGTATTTACTACTGCAAATTCAATCTTGACTAATTTTATACCTCGTTATTTCGACGTTAATTATGACGATCCTTGTAGAGAAAGAAAGAGAGAGAGAGAGAAAGAGAGAGAGATCTAGCATTGAAAGCTCCCGCGGTATTTCAGCGATGTGTTGTTTCTTGTTTTCGGCTGCTCTTACTCTCGCATGGCTTCTACGTCTGATGCGATTCGAGGCTCCGTGTAATCCATGACCGTAAATCGGGATTAAACTTAGTGCCACTTCTGGTGGCCAACGAGCAAGTACAGAGTGTATTTCGCGCTCTGGAGGAGTTTCTTGAAATATTTTGTCGGAACCGCAAATTGACATTTTGATATTCGAGTGTAACTTTTTCGCAGATATTCTCGGTAGTCCGCGATAAGCGTAAAATTGACTTTGCGGGAAATTTATATTTATGTATATCACCGATTACAGGTAATTAAATTAGTTTCCATTAAATTGCGTGGCGAATACTGCATTATTTCCGACCGCTGTTCCAATTCTAGTCCGGATCACATAAACGATTGCTTCATTATTTGAAATGTATTATTTTAAGCCTAATTATGGAGAGATAGTTAATTTAACAAATTTGATCATTTTCCTATTTGTGATATCATATTCATTATTCTCTCTATAGTTTCTCTATATATCACTTTTGATTGTTACATGCATAATGAAATTTTCTCACCCAAGTATGTCTGTCATTTCGCATATTTGCGCAGAGCGCGACATATATGTGCACAGATAATCGTACTTTACAGTATGTGACTACTGTAAACTAAACTGTGAGCTACACTGAATTTGATTTTTACATTTCGTATGCCGCAGATAGAACATGATTTTTTACTTACGCTTCACGTTGCTGATACTTTATGGGATTATACATCATCGCAAAGCATGTTTGCATGTCCGAATATCTGTTTTTCCTCTTGCTTTTTTTCTCCATCTGGAATAAAATATGTTTAATATCAAAATACCTTCAATATACAATTTTTATCAATTACGTATAATTAGTAATATTGTATACGTTTTTTAATCGTACATTTTTATGCAGTGAGAAATTACGTTGAGTGCAGCATAAATTTATTAATAATTTAATCATAAAATTATATGACTTTAGTATCTTAATTAATAAAATGCACTCTATTAAAATGTAGGATCACATATAAAAATTACTACTATAATAAAACAGGAGTAAAATTAAATAAAATTGAGAAATGTGTATTGTGTTATCCAGAAATATTATAATGTATATTATAATATTATAATAGCTTATAACGATCGCTTTATGACGGAAATTAGCTGGGACTAAAATATTGAATAATGCTTGAGAGAAATTAAAAATGCAAATATGTCAGTACGCCTGTACCATATAGCACATAAAAAGGATAAATGCATAATCCTAGGTATTAACGAAGTATAATAGTCTCGCAATTTATAAAACTAAAACATAAATTGCGCTACACCATTTTAGACTATTTATCCTATCTTAAAAAAGGCATGGAAGATTTGCATTATTGCCTCTTTTCCGCGATGCTGATTGCTTATCTCGATGCGCCTTGTACGTGCTATCGAGCGGTTGTCATTGCGGAAAAAACAAATGTTTATGTTTCGTGTGATAAAATTTTCGTCATATAATTATGTCGAATTTTAATTAAAAAAATCAATTTTAATTTTATCGTAGCAAGACCTAAAAATTTCATGCAGATAATGATAGCTTAAAAAATATGAAAAAAAATAACAATTATCAATTTTAGAAAATTATAGACGTTTCGGTGACACATATTTGCCAGTACATAAATTTAAATGTAGAGACAACTATGAAGACAAATATACAACATTTTTACATTTATTTCCAAAAAATCATGATAAACTGGCGTGTCTGGCGTCGCGTATCTAGCATGATATTTCAACTTCTGCCGTAGTAGCTACGAAACCTTGACCACCTCTCCAAAACGCTCATAAAAGAGCCATAAAATATTCCACATGTCGTTTAAACTCGCTCGATCACGTCCGCGAGTCATTTTACGAGCATATACCGAGATGTGTAACAAAAGAATAATATCAACGGGGAAAAAATGAATAATATCAACGGGAAAAAAAAAAAATCTTGTGGAGTTTTTACTTTCTTTGAATCGCGATGCAAACGTGTCTACAATATCACAGCGTGAACCATGTTGCTTGTCTTCCATCAAATAAAATTCCTTTGTACATTAGTGTCGTTGTATAGCTACATACTTTTTACGCATCTTGTGAAATAAATGTCTTCTCAACGATGATATTCATGCGCGAGATAACAGCGTGAACATCCTTTCATTATATCTTCCAATAATTTCCATCCGTCCCCTCGCCTCCACCTTGATCGGTCCCGCACGCCTTTGACCCGTCTTATAGCAAGAGACGAAGGGAGAATTCTTGTATTTAATTTAGCGCGAGGCTTTTAATCAGACCGCGCTTCAGACGCGCGCTCGGATACTCACTCGGAGAGTGAGGGACCAAACTTAAAAGGAGCTTTTTGAAGATTTAAGACGCGCTCTCGTCTATCATTCTTTCTCTGTCTTACTGGAAGAACGATGTTCCCGTCGAATCGCGTCTCCTTTAAATTTACCTTACCTCCTTTCGAGATATCTGAGAGGTATTACGGGGATGAAGAGACATGGCTCGTGTACATAATTTAAATTGAATTTAGATAGCGTAATGTAAGTTACAAATCCAACCTTCAATCAACTTTCTATGGGCAAAATATTTATTTTCGCTAAAATTTGGACAATCTAAATTTTCTGAGTAAAATGTTACTTCGAGATGTTTGTATAATACATAATAAAACACTGATAAAAAATCATCATAAAAGTAAATAACCATAATTATGATAAAATAATTGAATATTCAATTCAAATTACGTATGTTTGCAAGAAATATAATATGCATAATATATACATCATTCAAATGTAAACTTAAATTATATAAATCCTGTCAAATTATACAATATATTAAATCATACAATAATGCAATTTTGCAAATGGAATTGCAGGAGTAAAAAAATACGAAATACATATTATATTTATAGAATTATTCAAAATCATACATAAAACATGTAAAATTCATAAGAAAGCACCCAATATGCATCATCTTATTTACTTATACTCTTTAAAACTTGCGCGATCACTATACTGAAATGGATATGAGTAAGAAGTTTCCACGTTAACATAATAAAAGCACTTTTCACTTTGCAGCGCGCTCAAAGAACTTTCGGATTTTCAAGTCCACAGCGATCACGAGAACCGAAAGTTTCTTCATCCGTACATTCGTCGCTACGTGTAACCTATTCAAGCGCAAGTTCGTCGAACATGGTCGGGAAATTGTGGAAACGCTGTAACTAACGTGCAGCTAGTCGAATTTCACAACTAGTTTCTCTCGATACCACGTAATGTTAGTGCGAATTTCCCTAAAATTACCGCCGTATTGTAACGCAATCATCGTAATCATAGTTGAAATTATCGTTATATGAAAATTCGATCGAAATACTTCAATATCTCGGCATTTCATACAGAAGAAATTGCATCTTACATATTGCAATAGATAGAAATGTTCATTAAGGAAAACAACTATTTCTCTCATATGAACACTATGCATATACAAGTATCAAAAATAATAATATGAGAATATTCTTTTTTTAGAAGCAGCACACTCAAAAATAAGATTTTTATCATAAAGTGGAAGATTTTTATTATGAAGATTTTTATCATGAAACAACAAGTGAATATGTTCTTTCGTTTCTCTAGTTTTTCCCAAAGTTTTTCCGAGTTTACTGAGGTGCAATCGTATTTTCGGAATGCGCAGCATAATTTAAATATTCTTTTGCGCTGTATGTCCCACAGCGATGTTTGAGACTCGAATGTCTCCATTTTTCGCGTCAATTGGCGGTAGCTTGTTGCTGGCAGGAAAAGCGCGCGCGCGCGCGCGCGTTTTGCATTTTGCGGGCATCCGCTTCGTGGCGTTCGCACACGGTGCTGCATAAATTATGCGCTAGCATGGACGGCGAGTTGCTGTCCGTACGAAAAATTCGAAAATTTAATTTGCGCGCGAGCCGGCGCCGGTTGCCTGGTTGCACTTTAAATCAACGGTAAACCGACAGCGACCGTACATCTCGAACGCTTATAGAGCGCACGCGGCAGATGTTTCAGTTAAATCAACTGCCTTCGAACGGCGCGCCGCAGAAACTATCTGTTCCGGTGTCAAAACAGCTGTGCTTAATTAAACGTATACAATGGGCGTGCTTGTGCGACGATGGCGTAGCGGGTAGAAACGTCTCAAAACAACACGCTTAATTGCATGCGTGGGCGTTTCGGTCTTAATGTATCTATAATAACAAGGGCTACACTTCCTCCCTAAAACAAGTTACGTCTTATGTGATTTTGTTGTTAAATGTCAAACGCGTGTTCGTTTAAATATCAATCTACTTTCCGCGTTAACTGCTTGCTCGAGAGTAACTGAAAGATAATAATCGCAGCAAAAAGAATATTTTTAAATATGAAATTTTTTGCATTGTACATATAAAATAACAACTGAATAATATTCCTGATAAAGTCACAACAGCGTCTGTTAAATGAGAGAATTGAACGCAAGCTGATTAACTTCCTGCGATTGATTCGTCAATGCGAAAAATTAATTGGCGGGTTAATTAATGACTAAGAGTATGATAGGTATATGGATAGGTATATGGATGTCTTATTATCCGCTTCCATTCTCAAATGAATCAAATATTTGATCAAGGGATAATAAACGGAAGCGGAACGTTTCACGTAATTTATATGTGGTGTAAGGATGAACGGCGAATTGTTTCAGTTATCAGTGGTCCGCAGCACTCACGTGGTCTAGAATATTGGGGGAAGGGCTGATGGGCGATGCATTAATTAATTACGGACCGATTACCCAGCCCTGGCCATGGTCAACATCCTATTTTCACGACGGCGTCCTCCCTATGCTCTATAATCGTATTATGTTTAATCTCCGGCTCATATATCTTTTCACCATATATTAATACGTGGTGCATAAAATCAGTAATATCGTATATAATAAGCAGATTTATAAAATAACATTACATTTTATAAATACATTGGCTTCATTATGTAAAAGAATAATTACAAAAATCGGCAATCTAATAAATTCTTATAAAATATTAGGACTCTTTGAAAAAATTATTCTTTAAACATTCTGAAGAACCGTACTTTGCATATCAATAATAATACAGAAAAATCGAAATCTTATCTATAATTTGAAACGCAGTAATAAAAAAAAGAAAGAAATGCATGATAAAGTCGCTATATATAATGGAGAATTTTTTAAACTCTTCTAATTGTGCGGTATTTCAAACTACAGATATAGCGACAGCTCTTAGTGGTGATATTAATACAACCAAGAAAATCTTTAAAGAGAGCAGAGATCGTCGCTCATTTATCATAGTCAGTTTTTCCTGCCACAACTGAGGTCACTTGCATCTGGCAGTTGATTCTTTCCGATGAGTTTTCCGACAAAATTTCGGAGTGGCGTAGCCCGTCACAACGGGCAACTTTTAGAACGGCGCAAGTGGTGGACCACATTCCGCGTAATTCGTGAAAGCAAAATCGCGGAAACGGTGGGCGGCGGGGGCCGGTATGCAAGCGAAGACGAGTAAAACTTTTCGATAGTACGGGGTTTTGTTTTGTAATTCATTAAAAGTCCGTAATTCAAACGGTAACGACGCCCATGACGGTACCGCCGGAAGAGAATGGAAACGGAATGAGATTCGGCCGACCGGTGCGGTTATTGATTATCTAATTATTGTAATTATCGTAATTGTTCGCGCCGTGATTGCGGTACGATCAGATAGAAAATGAATCATGCAAAATGTGCTCGATATTTCAAAAGTGCTTGCAGAGACATATTTGCGACCGGTTAATTTCAGCG